TCCTTATGCAGAATTTGAGGCTGTGTGCAGAAAGAGCTCAGGTTTACAACTCCCACTGATGTTACAAATCCTCTCTGAATATTAACAGGCATCATTCTGATGTGAACGACAAAAGCAAGTGTTTTACCCCCACTGTACATAATTACAAAGGAGGTTATGTTCTGGTAAGTCTGAATTTGTCTAAGTGTGTGAGCTGAAATAAAAACAACCCTGTGTTTGATAACTCAGCTGATAATGTTAATTAAGTCTTGGCTGTACTAAGATCAGATTATGAAAGATCAGACTGCAGCTGTTGCTGTGTGGGAAGGATCGTCTCATGGTTGTGGGCTAGCTAGAGACACTCAGCTCCCACTGGATCTGTGTAATCTCTGCCAAGTCACTTCATCTCTTTGTCTGCTTTTAAGTTGAACGTTTAAACTACTCAAGCAGTCATTCTTACTCTCAGCTGGGAGGTTACCCCAATCCAACAATAAGGTGAGATTTACTGCCTTTTTCTGATGTTCTGGTTTTCCTGGAAATGAAGCACTGATGTGGAGTGAGACAGGAATTACAGATGTGTGGATCAGATGTTTTGTGTACTATGCAGCTGTGGGCAGGACCTCATGAGATGCATCTCCAAGTTACCTTGTTTTATAAGTTTCTGCTCCTGGTCGGCATAATGGGGAACAGCACTACCAACTCCTAAAGTTTTGTTATTACAAGGAAAAACTATTTGGTTTAGCTTGGTTTGGTAGTTTGTTCGGTTCATTGGTTCTGTTTTACTAGCCAAAACAGATTAGATCACAATATGAGAATATATGTTTTCCCTAGACCCTAACAACATGCATGTAGCTAAGAATGCAAGAAGAGTGAAAGCATATGTGATATCTTCCCATTGTTCCATCCTCCAGCAATTTACGGCTCAAGCACCTTTCCAGTTTGAAAATACTGTCTTGTGTTGAGGAGCACTTTGTAACAGTGTTCTGTACTTTTACCCAGTTTTTGAACCCGTGCACAATAAAGAGTTTGTGATAATGTGAGCAGTGGACACCTAAGAGCAAGTAGGTGTACTTTGCAGTCATCAGGGGACTACCGTACATTTGCACCTGTGTTTTCAGTAAATTCCCAAAAGGTTAAGTGTTGGCCAGATGAGTTTTTCATCTCTATTCTGCAAGATGCAGCAAGGTGAGACCAAGCAAACATTTGCTTCACTGCTTTACTGAAAATACTCCTCTATCAGAAAGAGTATTCACTTTCAATCTCCATATCTATGGATGAGACCCTGTACCTTAACAGTTCTCCCAGTTTATGTATTTTCAAAAAATTCACTGTGATAACAGCTGAAATGCCTTTTAGTCTTGAATTCTTAATAAATGAATTCTGTTATATTTAGACTTTCTTTACCAACCAATCCATATAGATTTTTAAGGAACAAAATGGCATTGCACCAGCCTAATCTCCCTCTCACATGCTACCACCCTTGGTACATGGCTAGAGCAGAAACAATGCCAAATATCCACAGTGTAGAAGGCATTGGTTCTCTTTCACAAAATTTCCCATAGGAAATCAGGAGTTTGTAGAGTAGAAGGGCTTATTGTAAATATTTTGAAAGAGCCATTAGCAGACTGCACTCAGATGATATTTTTCATGGTCTCCATGTCCAGTCACAGGTTGTGTGGAAGGGAAGCAAGATAAGCCTGATCCTGTGCCATAATTTGATTAGTGATCCAAATGGCACACTGTTCTGGGTTTGACTGGGATGGAGATAACTCTCTCACAGCAGCCCATAATGTGCTGCAGTTTGGATCTGTGGCTACTACAGATCTACAGATTTTGGCTGTTGCTGAGCATTGCACACCATTAAGGCTTTCTCTTTTTCCCACCCTCTATCCCAACCAACTAGGCTGAGTTTGGCAAGAGGTTGGGAGGGGGCTGGCCCCGGCTGACCAAAGGGATATTCTGTGCCATACTACATCATGCTTAACAGTAAACAGTAAAAAAGGGTTGGTTTTTTTTCTGTGGAAAGTAGGCATTGCTTAGAATCTGACTGAACGTTATGAGAGATGATGAGTGATTGCCTTTGCATTGCATGTTGGATTGTTTCTTTTCTCTTTCCTTTACTTAGATTTGCCTCAGCTCTGGTGTTTTCTTCTTTTTGCTCTTCTCTGCCCTGCTGAGTGTGGGGAGAGAGCAAGTGACTGTGTGGTGATTGCTGACCACTGTCAGTCACCACAATAATAGAGAATGAAATAATGCAATTAGTGAAAATCACAGTTTGGTGACAGTAAAAGGGTGTTTGGATTTAAGTCTCCGTGGTGGCTGGATTGTATGGTTTAGGAATAGATTGCCTTTCAGTACAATGACTTCTCTTTGGTTAAATAAGGAAGTAGGAATTTGATGACATGAAGAGTTATGTCTCTTTCCTAAGCTGTTCTAGGCTATAAACATTTTCTTAGTTAAGTGAGGCTCATCAAAATCATCTGCTTTTGCTGTAGATAAAAAGCACATGCAGATCATGGCTGTGGCTCACTTGACATCTGGTAACTTTGGTTGTCTCAGACACACTGGGTCTCACTGTTTCACTGCACTAGTCCCATGCTTTGAGATATCTGTGATATTTGAACTCTCCCATAGAAAGAGAATAATTAACCAGAACTCCAGGCTAGATTCCCAGTCAAAACTGGCCTAGCTCTCCGGATTTGGCTGGTAGATAAGCTGACCTATTTTGTTTAAGATTTCCCTCCTGCCTTGGTGTAGCACATCAGAGCACTGCAGGAATGCAGTTTTTCGTACAACTTCAGGAGATCTTTATTGAGCATGGGTTTTATAATTGCTATCTGCAGATACAGCAAATTCCTTTGCAGTTTAAGGAAAGATGCCAAAATGTAAATGACTGAGTGTCACTGCTGTGTTGTGACAGGGCATTCTGAAAGAAAGAGTGATTGATGACATGTATATAACCAAACCATTGTATGTGCTTTTTATATTGCAACAGTACTTAAAATGTGGGCTGTCAGTCAAAGAACAGCTTACTTACACAGTGCTATAGTAAGTGGTGGTGGGTGCAGTGAACAAGATATTAGGGTAAATGTTTTGCTTCTGCACTTCAAACAGCTTTAGCTCTTTATTTCCCGCTGCAGCTAGCCATTGTAAAAGGATCCATTGCTTGAAGCATGAGACTTCAGTGAGGGCCGCTTGTAGCTCTTTGGTGCTGACACCAAAATTGAAGCCAGTTTTTGAAATAGACTGGTTGCGTTTTCTCCCTGAGCACAGTTAAAGCAAACCTCGGTGGCAACAGTTTACGTGGCTGCAGAAACCCCCAAAGGCCTCAGCTGCAGACCTTCAGTTCTCTGTGCTTTGCCAAGGGCCTGAGGATCCAGCACAGCAGGTTTCACTGAGTGCTGTGGGTGCATTGGGCACCTATCAAGTAAGAACAGAGGACAAGGGTTGCAAGCCACTCTCAGTGCCTCTGTCTGTATGGAGGTGAGGAGGGAAATGCTCTGCAGGCCTGGATGCTGTTGCTTTAGGTGGATGGAAAGGGAAGCCGCCCAGCTACACGCCGAAGTCTGTGCACCACAAGAAACATCTCAGCCAGATTAGCAATGGAGACTGGGCCACCTTCCTCTGCCTGCTGCTTGCCCTCTCAGCAGACTGGTAAGGCAGAGTGGGCAGGAGGAGCAGACACAAGCATTGATGCAGAGCGTGGCTGCCCATGAGTTTGGCCCGTAACGGAGAGGTGGTGGGAATTTTGCCAGGTCCGGTATGACTTTGTGGTGTGTATGTAGGGTGGGAGATAACAGGTAAATCCCCTGTTGCTGTAAGTGTAGTAGAGAAGAGACAACAAAGTGTATGTGATTTTTGTAATGAGATAGAGCAGAAAAGGTCTTTCCCTTTTCCCTCTTTTTGATAACTGAGAAAAAAGGAATGTGTCATTTACAAGTACAGAAAATAGTCAAATCATTGGAATTTTCCTTCTTTACACATACTGCTCATCATTTTCTAAAACCATTAAGGCTTATCTTATCCATAATGACAGTTCTGCCTATGTGCTTATAAATTGTATCCTTGTAAAGACAGTTTCCACATGCCAAGAAAACAGTCTGTAAGTACATGCATCACTTCCATGTAAAAAGCTTTTCATTTTATGCTTATGACCAGCCTGAAAATTGTCATCAAGAATCATCTTTTGAGTCACATCTGGATGCTGTGGTTTGATGTGTCACCACTTGCAAGGACCTTTGAATATAGCCTTATGGATCAATATAAAGTTGTTTCCTGAATTTGATTTTTTTTCTGCAAAATGAGAAAAAAATGTTCACGATTGCACTACATCTGTCCAGGTACAGCTTGATTATGTAAAGAAGCTGTAAAGACATGTTAAGTGCTGACAGTTTTGATATTTTCTAATGTGAAGTATTACATTATTTTTTATTCTTTTATATTTGTAAATTACACATCACTGTGTTGTACCTGCTAACTTCTTTCTTAGGATGTGCTGCATTATTTTGTAGTGTGCATTTCTGTCTATACTTATTGGCTCTTTAGAAACTTGTCTAATTAAAAATAATTATAATATCATAAATTTAAGGCTTTGGTTATTCTTTGTAGAAAAAACGTTAGAACAAGTACAGCTCCTTGTTTCACAAATGAGTCAGTTCACAATGGGCTCATTACTCAGACTGGGCTCAGCATGTGGCACTGGAGTCCACGCCTTGTGTTTGTTCTGGAAAGCAGATTGCCTCTAATTAAACAGCTTTCCACAGATCTCTGTGCACAAAATTGTATCCCAGTGTCATGAGGAGTTCACTTTGTGCCATATTCCAGTCACTAGTTGTAGAACTGAACTGAAGTTGTCTTTTCAGTCATGTGGCAAGTATGTAATGATGTTTTCAAGTGTGCTTTGTGAAATTCACTTTCATTTCTTTTTGTTCATTCTTTTAAAGGAAATTTGCTTTGGGAAAAAACTTTCACACAAGCTAACTGCTCTTTCTGTGTTGTCTTTTTCCTTCTCCCTCTTCCAGACCAGGATGAGAGAGCAGCAGAGCTCAGCAGGGAGCAGAACGAGAAGACCATTCGCAGCACACAGACAGCTCTCCGCAATTTCCGCGAGTTCCTCATCTCCAAGTATCCCTCTGAGACCCGAGAGATCTACGTCATCCCCTGCAAAGAGCTCGATGCGTACCTTGCTTCGTTCTTTGTGGATGCCAGGCAGAAGGATGGGTCTGAATACGAGCCAAACAGCCTGGCCAACTATCAGTGTGGGCTGGAGCGTTATCTGAAGGAGCACAGGTATGGATACAGTATTACCAGGGATAAGGAGTTCAAGAGGTCCCAAGAAGCCCTAAAACAGAAGCAGATAGAACTGAGATGTAAAGGTAAAGGGAACAAGCCACACAAGTCCATGAAGCTCACCTTTGCTGACGAGCTTATCCTGCGCAAAAGAGGCTTGCTAAGCCGGTACAATCCTGAAGGGCTCTTGAACCTTGTCTGGCTGAACAACACTAAGGCATTTGGACACTGCACAGGTTTTCATGGGTCCACCCTCAAATGGGGAGACATCCGGCTGCGGGTGACAGAGACAGGGTTGGAGTACCTGGAGTGGATGGGACCAGACAGTGGAGATATCAATGCCAAGAGCAAGAGAGGTGGGACAGACTCTCGGGTGTATGCCACCCAGCACTCCCCACAGACCTGTCCTGTGCAAGACTACAAGGAGTACGCCCAGAGGCGGCCTCCAGCCATGCGCTATGAGGATGCACCTTTTTACCTGTCAATCAAACCCGTTGTCAACTTGGCTGCCCTTCACTGGTACAATTGCCAAGCTCTGGGGAAAAATAAGCTTGCCAAGATGGTAAAGACAATGTGCGAGAAGGGCAACATCCCTGGCAGGAAGACCAACTTCAGTGTCTACCAGAGCTGTAGCACATTGTCAGAAGCTCAGAGCAACCAGCTTGTGCTGATCTGCAATAACTTGAGCCAGCAGGCTGCCCAGTCCATGGCAAGCCATACCAATACTGGCAACTTCATAGTGTCAGCATCCTATGACTCTTCCTCTGACACAGCTTGAAAAAGGGGTATAGCTTGGACAGATTTTTCTCTTCTGTTTTGTTTTAAGCATTGAATTTGTGCCCAATAATACACATCAACTGTGATTGTACACTACTCTCCCATAGCCCTCTCTCCAGTGTTAATTCACTTTATAAAAAAATATAAATATATAATATATTTTTCTTTTTACAGGTAAGTCAATAGAGATAGTTTAGTAATACTAACATAGTATTTATAGTGTTAATACAAAAATGAATGTTACTTGTGGGTTATAATATAATTGCAGATTTTAAAAGGACAAAAATGGTTCTCAGGCAACACAAGATAGACTGGAAATACCCTTTTTAACATGCACACATCAGTGACTGTAATTCCCCAGGGAGACTTACGTAGCAATTCTATTTTAAAGCATTTTTTTGACTTCTTATGTTAACATGGCCTCCTAGAGTGGAGGAGGCAAATCTACCACTGGCTGCTGCTTCTTACCTGCTGGCTTGTTCTTGATCAGAAATACAAGGAGATAAGAGATACATCAATGTAAGTCTGTGAAACCATTTACAAGAAGTTTTCTCTGTTGTGTTTTTCTTTTGTTTTGTTGTCTTTTTTTTGTTGTTGTTGTTGCTGTTTGTTTGTTTCCTGAGGCTTATTTCTGCCAGATGGAAGAAAAAAAATCCCAAAGTCAGCAAAAGGCTATTTTTAACTTTTGTTTTTGTTGATTTTCTGTTATCAGAATATCACTGGTCTTTAGACTGAAAAGTATTGTTATCAACGGTAAGCAAAGGTATGTTGGCAAAAACAGTCGTGTACATAATTTTAACTAAGCACTGATCATTAATGTTTTGTCGCTGTGTATTCTTAATGTAAAATCTACTGACTTTTATCCACTCTTTCACTACTCTTGGGGATGTAGGTGTGCAGAAAAATTCATTATCTTATCCCAAACCATTCAGATAAAATGCATCAAATCTGTCCTAAGCCATTATTCAAACTCCACAAGAAATAACATAGGGATAGTTTCATATTTTCTACAGAAGATTAAAAAGATGAGTAGTTTTAAGCACTGGAAAACAAATCAAAATCACCTATGTGTAATCTGTTTTCATTGCAGACAATGGAAATTGTGTATGTGATTCTTAGGGAAGAATTTGGTCCTTTAAATACTCGAAATAATGAATGCTGTTGTTCCCGTATTTGATTTTGTAGCATAGTTGTTCTATGAGTACAGGGAAAACACTAACAAATTAAGTGTGTCAGTGAACCATTACAATTCTTGACTTTTAAAATGATGTATGGTACCTCTGCAGTAATTCAGCTTAGCTTATTCAGCGTTACAGATGGAAATGTTCCACTAGCATACCTTAGCGACTTGGTAAGTCTATAGACAAGTCCCTGACGTGGCATGGTGTCCTCCAGAGTCCATGAAAGATTCAGCCTCAGCTCACATCCCATCAGACTGTTACTGAGGACTTTTCTTTTTGCTTTTGTCCTTCTCTAAACTTCATTGGTTTTATTTCTTTACATTCTTTCCTTTCTTTTATGTAGTTTAAATCTGCAACTGTGCAGTAAACTCAGTCATCACTAATTAAAAAAAAAAAAAAGTGCAACAGTAGCAGAAAGAAATAAATTATCCCACCTGGGGCCATTTAAAAGTTATTTTTGGTGTTGCTGGGATGAGGTGTGTATTCCTGTGTATGAAGGAAGTGGCAGAACACCTGTGTCTCACTTAATCCTGGAGGTCTGTTTTGGACAGGGAGTGATTAGCAGATGTCCTACAAAAGGTTTGGGAGCAGAGATTTCCTCTTTAATGAACATCTGTCCTCCCAGGAAGCGTTGTGCAGGTGACAGCGCCTGAATGATCACTCATTGTTCTGCACAGCAGAGCTACTATAATGCCTTGGTGCTCTGTGTGCTGGCTGCCCTAGGGTCTGGCACGCCAAGGCAGGGTAATCTTATCTGCAACCCCTGAGATGGGATTATTAATGCTGCAAGGTAGGCATTGGTGTGACAGGCACTCACATTGCAAAGCAATGATGTGCTTTTGTGGCTTGGTTCTGAGGCTTGAGACAAAGTGTTGGCACTTCTGAAGTAACTGCAAGTGCCTGTGACTGCCTTGCCATGGCAAATCTGGTAAAGATGAAGGAGAGGGAAACACAGACATCTGCTGCTTTGCTTCCACATGAGGCCAACCAGTTGTCTTTTCATAGCAATGCTCTACATGTGATACAAGTGAAAATAATTTTGCAAGGCTGATGTTGCTCTCTGTAGGATTTCATTGCTGTTTGCTGCTGAGTACTCAAGTCACTGATCTCTGTATGCAGTGAGTGCTAGGGTGTCATGCTAGAGAGCTCATTCATGATGTTCTGTAGAGCTCCACAAGGGAGCTGCTAGGAAGGGTTTTGCTCTCAACTTCCCCCTGTGCTCACCTCTTAACTATTGCAGAACCTGACCCATCTTCCTTTCCTCTCCCAGAGTACAAAGCCAGGTACCTGATGGCCTTTGTGGAACAGCACATTTCCCTCTTTGCTGGGAAGACTTGCCTTGAGGTTGTACAGAAAAGTAACTACCCCATGATGTGGCTGTCTGTTGTTTCTTCTCAGACCCCATAAAACATGAAACCAAATTCAGTAGTAATAAACAATTTCTCTGTTTAGGGTTTATTGCTTCACAGTGGGCTGTTTTGTGTGGACTAATAACTGTGGTAATCCCACACATTTTGGACTAGATGATCTTATAGGTCATTTCCAACCTTGTTATTCTATGATTCTGTGATTTTCTTGTCTTTGAGAAGGCAGATCACTGTCTGCAGATGTGCAGTGCTGCATATGGTCTGCAATGTTCTGATTCACATCTACACTGTAATTCAGCCCCAGCACAGATCTTGATCTTGTCTCCAGCTCCTCTGTCCATATATAGAATTGCTGTCTTCAGTTTTAGGGTGGTTTGTATCTTGCTGTGCCCAGGCAATGTCTCTGATAATGTTGCATGTCAGGAACTATTGCATGTCTGGTTAGGAGGTAAGGTGTGAATTATGTGTTCTCATTGCAGGAGCCTCAGCATTACAGGGCCGTGTTTTCTCTGCTCTGTGGCATCTGCAGTAACTCCAGCCCCCAGTGATGCTGATGGCGGATTGCCTGGCAAATTCTGATCAGGCATCCCCAAATAGACTACTTGTAGAAGCAGTTAAGCACATGTGGCCAAAATATGATACTGAAGGAGTATCATACTCCAAAAATAGGTATGTTATCTTTGAATGGCATTTAGCACCACATACTACCCAGTCTTCATTTGCAAACAGTCGCAAGGAATTGAGTGATGACAGCCTAATTAATTATGATCTGTATTAAGCTATTGAGAGTGTCATTAACCCACTGGGAGGGAGACTTCTGATTTAAAACACTGGTCATGGTTTTGTTTCTGCTTGGCAGGAGTGTAGTGTCCCAGCTGCCATGTTGTTGCTGACAGATGGCAACCCATTTGCTTGCTATCGTCTCCCAGTGCTTTGAGGGTGTCAGAACCTGCTCACCAGTAAGTCTCATGCTTACCATCATGGTGTGGATCTGCCCCAGTAAAAAGCCATGGGGAGATGGTCAGGGAGTAGTGCTGCACTCTTAAAATCATAGAGTCATAGAATAGCTTGACTTGGAAGAAGCCTTACAGATAATCTCATCCAGTGCTCTTTCTTTGAGCACGGTTGATGACTGCTAGATCAGGCTGCCCCAGTTCCCAGCCAACCTGGCTAACCACAGCTTCTCTGGGTAACTGTGCCAGGGCTTCACTGCCTTTTGAGTAAAGAATTCTTCCTAATATCTGATCTGCAAGCCTTCATCTCTGCCTAGGGCCTGGTGTGTCCTACCATAACTCTTGATACTTCACTACTTCTTACCATGGAATCAAGAGGCCAGCTCCCAGATCACCATTCAGCTCCTATACAGCATAGCCCAGGTGTGGTGGCTGAGTGGGTCACTTGCAGAGATCCCCTGACAGATGACAGTGCTTCTTTCTTCTCTCTTTTTCCTTTCCTGTTTTCCTGACTTTCAGCTTTCTCTGATCTGGTATTGGACCTCATCAATCAGCTCACTAGCCCAGCATAAAACATAGCACAGAGGGGGAAATTGAGATAGTTCTCTGCCAGATTACTGACTTGCTTCTGCTCAAAAATTGATTTACAGCTCCAGAGGGAGAGGCAGAGGAGGATGTTCCCTGTCTAAAGGCTGCACTGCAGCTTTGGAAACCCATCACAGCGATAATGCAGTGGGAGCACCTTCTGTGTAGTTTGCAGCTGTTGGTTGCCTTCTGAACTATTACTTATGCATGTATTTGTGGCACTGTAGGCTTGCACAGGGTGTTTCTATTCATAATGGTAGTTGAAGCTGACATTCTCAATATCTGGGTTTTGAAAACTGCCTGTTAAATTTTCAAATACAAATTTATGCAACAAAATGTGTTTTTAAGTACAGTAATTTTAGTAATTTTAAGGAGAATGAAATACTGTTCTGAACTACCTTGTAGATTGTGTTAACTAAGTTATGAAGCATATCTAAAACAACAGTACATACCTTATTCATTTACACAGTTCAGTCATTTTGGGATAGCATCCACGCCGTTGGAGTATAGGACAGTCTAACAATGGAAGTAGTGGTGCACATTCTCCTTTGTGAAGAATATCAATGCTTTCAAGCTATTTTCTATTTTTATTTTTAAAAGCTGCTCATCACTAGTATTCAATCTACAGTGTAGTTGCCCACTTATTTCTCTTAGAAAGGAGTGTAGAAAATGAGATTTGAGCAGCAACTTATATTGCTGTTTGTCCCTTCTTGCCTGTTTGTGACTGTCTTCCACGACAGGTTGTGCAAATGATGTGTGATATGAAGACATGGATCAGGAAGAATTGGTGTTGAGTCATGGCAGAGCCTGGGCTGCCCCAGTTCTTGGAGCAGCCCCAAGGGAACTGAGATGCTATATATTCTACATTTCTTCCCTGCCCAGCTCATGTTTACCCCTTTTTTGTCTCCCTGCCTGAGGACATCCCATAAGTGCATTGACTGACATTGACTGACGTGGTGTGTGGGCTGGTTATTCCTCCCCACCACCAGCTGCAAGTGACTATGGCTGACCAACTGGTCTTCCCCATCAACAGCGTCCCTCTCTCCATCCCTTTGTACCTCTAACATTCCTTTCTCCTGGTGTTTGTCATAGGGGAAGGGGACTGCTCTGTGGAGGGCAGCACAGAGTTCCCTCCCTGCTACCAAGTGCCCTTGTGCTTTGGGGATAATGTGCTCAGGGCAGGCTGCCTCGCTTCGAGTGCATGTGGTCTGTGGGATACATGATCACTCACAGGCTTGCATCTCTTGTCTCCCAACACTCTCCCTTTCCCTTCTTCTCTGTTTTTTATGGGAGTGCTTTCAAATCATAAAAGGAGAATAGAACACAGTGATGTGTTGAGGGCCAGTTTTGTGCCTTTGCCTGGCCTTCCAATGATGTCTTTAAACTGAGTAGAGATGACTGATCCTTCTCCACAGTACATCCTGGACTGACACTAGAGTGGAAATCAATTTGTCTTAGGCAGAGTGGGCAACAGGAAAGCAGGACCTCCTTGATGCCCTATGGCCATTTGAATGTATGGGAAGGAGGAATGCTGACGGGACGCAGCGCTGAGGTTAGATTTGCCTGAAATGAGCCAATGCATGCTAGGTTAGCGGGGATTCAGCTGTACACTACTAAGTGTGGCTGGCAGTGGATCTGCACTTTTTAATGAGGGTTCTTTGTTAAACATTAGCGTTAACAAGATGGTTGTCTTGCCTAATGTGAGTTGCTGTCCTTGTTCTTAAAATGGGGATGTATTTTCTTCTATTTCTATGCTTTCATGTAAGTGCTGAATCTGCACGCTCTGCTGAGGAAGAGTGTGAAAAGAAGGCAGTCCAGCATAAAGCATGGCTATCTTCCTAGTGGGAGAACTGGGACTGCACTTTCTGGGGATGGTCGCCATGCACCGAGCCTGCTTTGTAGCCAGGAGCACTGGCACATCATCCGGTATCTCCCACATGTCTGATGGCCCTATGCAGGGTCAGCGTGGGTGTCACAGCACCTCTCTGAAAAATCAGAGCCCTGGGCCAGCCAGGTAAGGCAACTGTGCTTCTGCATGCTGAGCAGGGGAAGGCCGTAAGCACAATTCAGCGATGGTGCTGTCCCTGTGTGCAGGATGGACACATGCAGCTGGCACATGGGGCTGTGATGTATCTCTGCGTAGGTTTTGGAAAGCTGAGCACCAGCAGGAATGTGGAGGCTGGTTCTCCATGATGCTCTACTGGAAAACGTTAGCTGGCAACGGAGTGATCCTTCAGAGGAAGGCAGGTTCCTCAAAGCCCCAAGAAATGGTGTGGCTGCATGGCTGCCAGCTCCACCAGTGAAACCGAGTTCTGGTTCCATCCTGCCTCTGGGGCTCTGCTGATGTTGTCTGCCAGCACCTCGACTCTTCCGAATCCAGTGGAGAGGCACTGACTGCAGCGCAGCATGGGAAAGCCCCACAGCTTGGAGATGTCTGTGGGCTCATTGAAAAGTCTGACAATGGCCATTCACTGGAGTATATTCAAAGCAATGGGGATGTCTAAAGCTTTAACTCCTGATCTGACGGGGAAAAAATCAGTTTGGCACAAAATTTACTTGTTCCATGAACTGGTGGGTTTTAACAGTCTCTAGAGTTTATGTCTCAAGTCAGAAATTTATTTTCTCTGTTTTCTCACTTTGTTTAATGTTGGTTGGTAATATGAACAAAATTTGTTTTTGTTTTTGTTTTTTTAAATACAAATGCCATTAAATGTCTGTGCATTGGAAATGGACCTACTGTTTCCAGGGGATTGAGACACTTCTACCTTCTCTTTTATTCTGGTGCTCAGTACTCACTACATAGTAGCCACTGGTCTCTGAAAAAAATTAGTACTCTTTCAGATTTATTTGATCTGTTGTAGTTAATAGAAGATTTATTCACAGTGTTTGGGATTTTGTATGGTAGATGCTAACTCTGATGCTAACTTTTACGCTACATGTGGGAATTTTGGCTAGCTCTGTTCTGTACAGTCCATAAGCATCATGCAAATTGTGAAATTGCCAAGCAAGGGGAAAAGAATCAAGAAAATATAAAATGTTCTTTAAAATACTGTATTATTCTTACTCTAGAAAAAATAAACTCTTAACATTAATTTTAATGACACTATCTTCACCATTTCAGCTGTTCTTTTTGTGAACAGAGAAAACTCTGCAATATTCCTCAGGCTTAGAATTTGATCTGCTTTGTAAAGGCTTGTGATCCTGCTGAGATTGTCTTCTGCATCATTATAATGTGTTCTCAGCTGGCCTGAATCACACGCAGCCTTAAGTAGTGCCACATTGCTCCTGCCAGTATTCCTCCTTCCCTTCTGCTACGTTGCATCCAGGCTGGGCTGCTCTGCACAAGGCTGGGTGTCAAATGCAGAGCAGAAACACCTGGAGCACTCAAGACTTACAGGCAAATTGTGACATAGAATGTGTTACAAGAGTCTGCAAGCTGGCACGGGGAGAAGTAGATGGCAGTGCCCACAAGCCCAAGTGCTGCTGGTGGGCAGAGCTCGGTGAGGAACGCACCCCTGGGCTTCATGTTTCTACCCACCTTGTTGTCACAGATGGGTCTGAAACCTGAAGGAGAGGACATCATCCAGCCACTGCTTTGTTGTCTGGACTTGTCTGTGCCTGCATGACCCACATACCTCTGGGTCATCTTGAGACCTATTAGGCAGACAAAGTTATTCAAGACATAAAACAAAGAAATGGCAAAATGTCTGAGTATAGTGAAGGCAGTGGAAAGGCAGTGGAAAAGCCTGGCAAATGCAATAAAAGTTGTTGTGGTTTTTTTTTTTCCCTAAAGAAGGCAAGCATAATCCTCGTCTTTAAGCTATCCTTTAATATCCTACTTTGTTTTACACTGGAATTAGAAAATCTTTTCCATTTGTTTTAATTATCTGCTGACTTTAATTCTGCCTTTGAAAAATGTTTTTGCTATGACAACCCCAGCTATGGTGAGTAGCATTAGGGAAAAACAGTTAAAGTAAAGCTTTTATCTTTCCCTACATGCAATATTTAATCATTCTAATCTTTTAATATGAATGTGGTTTCTCCCATTCTGAAAATTGACAAGATTAGGGCTGCCTCTCCCAAAATAGCACTTCAAAAGCACGTTTTGCTTAGGCATAGCTAGTGCAGTACATAACCAGCTAGCAAAGCATGAGAATTCCTGTAAGTGACCAATTGATTCTCAGAGTTAAACCTGTGTCTGAGGCTTTCACGTGCCAACCTTTCTAACTCTGCCTAAACTCAACTTTTTTAAGAACAGTTTGTAAAAAAAGTACATTCTTTTGTTTTATATAAAAAGGGTGTTAAAAGATTCACTGTTCTGCCAAACAATAATATTTCTATGCACTGTGTCATTCGGTGGTGTTGCTGTTGAAATTTTGCATGTTTTCTGGACGTTCTGACATCCGTATGTTTATGTGGTACTTGTAGAAATGCTAACCATTGCTGCTGTGATCAGAGCCACTGAAAAACTGAGAGCTGTATGAGAAGCCCTGCCAGTCAGCAGGTATTTCTGTGTGTCACAGTAAATCTCTGCGTTCTGACGTTGTTTCCTGTGTTAAGCCAATGTTCAGTGCCTTCTGGAGAAGGAACCAACATGTTGCAGTAGGCAGGAGGTGCTGAACGTTTCATGTCTTCTTCTGAACAGTTGACCACTTATCAGCTTGATCCTTAAAGAGCAAACAAAAAAAAAAGTATTAAAGAAAATCTTGAATTCTCCATCTTTCTTTGAGGTGTCTTCTCATCAATTTTGATTTGGAATAAAAAAATTAAGATGCCCAACCAACTGCCTTGATGAAGCTAAAGGCTCCCACAGCCGTATGCCAGCTGTGAACGTGAGGGGTAAGACATTCCTGTGGATAGCTGATCCAGTGATCAGCCAAGCCTGTGAGAGCTGTTGTGGAGTTTGCTAAAAATGCCTACTAATGAAAGCAGTCCTCTGATTACTGTAAGAAACTGCCAGCTCTCCTAGCAGCTTTGAGCCTGCTCCTGTAAACAAGTGTCAGCCTGGTCAAGTGGTGGATTCCAGTCACTTTCCCACCTCCGCTGAAGCCATACTTTGCTGCCAAATGAGCCTTGGATGAAATTCAAGCCTGAGATTTTTGGTCTTGTTCTTTCCAATTGCTTTCATGGCAGGCAGGCCCTGTTTATCAAAATTCTGACACCGCATTTTCAGCTCCTTTTCCACCTTCCCCTTAGAATCTGGCAGTATAGCAGATACACACATACCCAGAATTAATTTTGACTTAGCTAGGATTTTGACAGGCTGAAATCATACCATATTGTATTTGTACAACAGAAACAAGCTGTGGGTAAAAGCGTGATCTGTCACAGATCCCTGCCACCAGGCACAGTCAGCTGCACCTGGTCTGCTCTGAAAGTACCATCTTATGCGCAAACAATGAAGGGCTATAGCCATTGTTTCATGATCTCTGCTGACAGGTGAAAGTCTGCTAAACATCCTGAAAAGGTTTTCAAATCAGAATACCAAAACAAACAAACAAACAAAAAACCTGTGTGACTGGGACAATAACAGAGAATTGAATTCATTCCTGCTGCTCTGAAGCCATCTCTGCACCTCTGTACAAGGCAGTTTGTAGCCCTTGGTGTGCAAAGGGCTTCTCCCAAAATAGTTTGCATCACGATCTTCAAAATTGCCATTCCTTTTTGTCACACCTGGAACATTTACAAAAAGCAGTATTGCAAGGTGCAGGCTGGACCACCCTGGAAGTCTGTCCATGTAGTAGTCCTCTCCCACAGACCAATGGATTCAAGGTGCAGTCTTGCCTCAAATACTGTGTTCATTTCTGGGCTCTACAATAAAGAAATTGTTAAGGTCCATGAAACAATCTGAAAGACAGCAAAAAAAAAGCTAGAAGGCAGAAAAAAAGGTAGAAGGTTTGGTAGAAGGCATGTGAGGCACCGTGTGAGGAGAGGTGGGCAGACCTGGGTTATCGTGTGTGGAGGTGGCAGAAAAGTGGTCACTGCTCTGCAGCTCCCTGAGGGGAAGCAAAGGGACATGCTGGGCTGAGCCCCCTGGTGGGACAGAACGCAAAGGAGTGGCACATAGCTGCACCTGGGGAGGATGAGACCGGGCATCAGGAAGCATTCCTTCACCATGAGGGCAGTCAAACTGTGGAACAGGCTTCCTAGAGGTGACACAGCTGTCAGTGGCCAAGGGGAGTTTGGGCAGTGTGCTCAGTGACTGCTGTGACTGTTGACTAGCAATTGATGTTGAGTGAAGGCCCCTTCCCACTGAGTTGTTCTAAACATTCCTAGAACATTTCTGAAACCTCAACTGTCCAAAAGTGATAAGGGTGCTTGAGGCCTTTTGCAGAATTTCAGTTCCCATCTTGTGGATGGAATAAGGCTGTCCTCAGAAATAAAGGGCCGTTTTATTGCTCTAAAATCCAATGGCTTCTTCGTAGAATTATAGAATCATAGAATCGCTCAGGTTGGAGAAGACCTTAAAGAACATGAAGTCCATCTGCAACATAACCATACTACCCTAACTCTAGCAACCCTCCTCTAAACCATATTCAGCTGCTTTCTGATGCCAGCTGAGACCAGCTGCAATGAGTTTCTTTTTGGTCTCTAGTGGCTATGTACACATGAACACATCTCCGCCAGTGCAGTGAGGAGTTTCTGCTCCACAGAACTCCTGCCTGCCTAGGCCTGATATTAGGTATGCAAGGCAGTGGCAGAGAGTCTAATTCCTTGCATTTTTTGTCTTTTTAGCTAGGTCTTAGTCTTCCAGTCCAACTAATTGCAGAAATTGACTTAGCAATTGCAACCTATTGTAGGGAACCTGCTTTGGAGTGAAGGATCTCCATAAGTCCCTTCCAACCCCTATAATCCTGTGATTCTGTGATCCTGTAATTGGTAATTGGTCCTTAGAGCTCCTTCCCACACACTGACCCAACCTGCCAAAAGGTGTGTCAGGTTCTTGCAGAACTACAGTTGTATATTCCCATCTTCACTTTGACTGCAGATGCATCTACATTGCCTTCAGCTTAGATTTGAATCAGAAAAGCAAACAGCACCGTTTAGTTAGCTCTTTGCATGCTAGAAATCCAGTTGTTTTACAGATGCAGACGTGGCGTTAGGTTTCAGCCTGCTGCCTGCAGTGTGTGAGAAGTTTTCCTGGCGTTTGTTCATTTTTCACCACAGCTCTCTGGTTTCAAGAAGCAAATGGGCTGATGTTAATGCTGTAGTGGATTTGATGCCACCGCCCCATCAGTGTGATGCCTTCTGTGTACATGTTGTAAGCTCCTGTAATTGTGTTTTGACCTAAGTGCACTGTGGTGCAGGAAAAGCTTTTTGATTTTTATTATTATTATTATTAAATAATAAAATAAAACCCTATTGCATTTCTGTCTGTGCTGCTGAAAGGAGACAAGAGAGAATTTATCCATCCACATCCCACTGGAATTTCGAGGCTAACTTAGGTTTCTTTGGACCCCTTTGCAAGCCCCAGTTGTAATCCACTATATTAGGCAGAGACGTTAACATGAGCAGTGATACCTTTCTAACACTAAAAATGCAGTTTTTCTGTGGGACCTTCTCACACTGACATCTTGCCTCTGCATTTCGGAATTTATATGTTTGTACATTTGTTAGGGAGAAGGAAGATTTTAGTATATTTTAATTAATTAGGCTTTGCAAATCCAGGATATCTGACAGAGAGAGAGAGAAGGTTTACTGGATTTTTTTTCTGAAGACATCAGGAAAATTGTCAACCCTCAGAGCTACCTGTTCAACTTCAGACCTGGTTCATTCTGGATCTGAAAAAGAACAAGAGACCTGGAAAAATAAATAAATGAAGAAAAAGTCTTCACTGGTAAATGAGGAAAGATTCCACAGCCTTCTTCAGCGCCGGGTCCCCAGCTGGGTTCCCAGGTCTGCCAACCCTTTTGCTTGATGGCTGGATAGGTTTTAACTCATGTGGATGCCATGTTGCTCTTTCTGCAGCAGATTTCTAAGAAGCAAACTTCACATTGGTTAAGATCCTTGAGAACAGCATCATCATCTGTGTCTTATGTGTCTTATGACACTTTTGTGCCAGCTGTACTTTTTTCCCTCACTGCGAAGTGCTCCACTCCTCTTCACTGGGGATGGAGCAAAGAGATGCTTTATTGCCATCTGTTGCACCACACTTCAGCCAGGTGCCTCCTTGGCTTCCCTGAAAAATGCTTCTTTGGGGTGATTGAGTATAAAAGTTAATTAAATAAGAAGACAGTAAAATCAAAAGGTCTTTTTTTTTTTTTTTTTTTTGATGGTCTGGATTTCATCCCCTGCTCACTTATCCAATAATTGGGCATTGATGAAGCATGAGTTCACTGTTGTGTTAATTGGAATATTCACTTTCACCAATCTGCAACTTCCAAAGACACTCTGGTCTTTATCACACTCTGTTTTTATCTCCCTGTAATAATCCTTAACATGTCTGGTTCTGCTGTGTTAGAGGTTGATTTCACTGTCCACACGACATTTGCCACTGTTGTAGTGTGACTTTTTATTTCTGTTTTTTAATATTTGCATTGGTACAGCCTTAAACTTACAGAATTAAAAATCATTTCGGAGATAATCAAGATAGTCATTGATGTCTGTGATAAGTGCATGCTTTATTCACAGTATTTTGTCTGTAATTAGGTGTAGCGACCAATACTCATATATTTAATAAACTGTCTTCTGCAAAGTTGACTGCTTTGTTTAATCAAATGAAGGCAACTTACTTGGAATTCTGAGGTCCATTTGTGTGAAAAGCCTCACAGCCCTCTCACAGTTCTCATGTATGAGTATCAGCACAGTGGGAAGTTCCTGTGGACCTGTGAAGCATTCCAATTAGCAGAGTGCAAATAGGCTCAGCAAGAAATAGCTGCTGCCGTGCCCTGCCTTACTCCTGGGGTCGTGTTACAGGGGAAAAATTAAACAATTGCTTACGTCTTTCCCTGCTTAGGAATGTGCATAAAAACAGCTTGACTTTAACTGTGTGCTTATTTAATCTCACTGCAGCATGAGATAAAGCATATAAACTCAGAACGTTTTGGAAGTCAGGTATTTTCTGGAATCTGGTCTGGTTAAAATGGTTCTGAGGCACAGGAGAAATTCCTAGAATCATAGAACAACAGAACGGTTGGGTTGGAAGAGACCTCAGAGCCCACCCAGCCCTGATCCCCATGCTGCTGCCCAGCAGGTCAGGTTAGAACAGGGCCCATCCAACTTGGCCTGGAACACCTGCAGGGATGGGCACCTGCAGCTTCTCTGGGCAGCTGTGCCAGGGCCTCACCACCCTCTGAGTGAAATTTCTTTCTAACATCTCAGCTAAATCTCCCCTCTTTTGGTTTAAAACCCTCCTTGTCCTGTCACTGTCAGACCGTGAAAAATGTCACTCCCCCTCCTGTAAGCTCCCTTCAAGCACTGGAAGACCTCAATGATGTTTCCCCAGAGCCTTCTTTTCTCCTGACTGAACAAGCCCAGATCCCTCAGCCTGTTTTCCTCATAGGAGAGGTGTTCCAGCCCTCCAGTCCTCCTTGTGGCCTTCCTCTGGACTTTCTCCATCAGCTCCGCATCCTTCTGTTCAATAATATTCTGTTCATAATCTGTTCTCCATAAAATTACATTTTAAGATTGATCTAGAATAAAATCAAATGTGCCTCCAAGGATGAAATTATTTTAAGACAAGTGTTTCCCAGGTTGGAACATTCAAAACCGGGATTTAAAATTAGAAGAGCAGAACATTAAAGCAAATAAACCTCTCTAAAAGAGAAGCACTCCAAATGGAAAAACGAAACAAAGCTTTGACAGCTCCATGGAAGTTCCAAAGCTCCATGGAAGAGCTGCTGTTGATGGGATGATGGCTGTGTTAGAGGAGGGTGAATTCAGATATAAAAGCCTGAGAAAAAAACAAAACAAAACAAAAAACAAAACAAAAAAAATTAAAATCAATCAGGTAACCAACATGTTTATGCTGGGGCTGAGACCTCAGTGCGTGACAGCAAGAGCTGAGTGACAACATGGGTGTGGGACAGAGGAAAATCGTTCCATGGAATGTTCTGCAGATGGGTTTCCACCACCTGGCAGATTCCACCGGATAAATAGCTGTGTGCTGCCCACAGTGGTGCTGCCCTTCAGCACAACCTCTGAGGGGCAGAGGCACCATTCCAGAGGCCTGCAATTGTTCCAGTGACAAGTGGCAAGAAAATGCAGAGGGCCTGGGATGAAGGGGAAGATAAGTAACGTACGGACAGGTAAAGACAGTCTGTGAGGAGCTGGTTTATTTTGTGATACACTCCAAAGAGAAGCAGGGCTTGGCTGCCATCCCTGGAAAGGGTCACATGATTTCTTCTTAGAGTAGTCTAGTGATTTACATTACAGCTTATGCTAATTGCTTAGTTCTCAGAATAATAGGGAGAAAAATAAGAAATAATAAGAAAAACCCCTTGGCTATGTACAAGAAGGTAGGCCTATTTATATGCAGGCATTTTGTTCTAGGAGACAAATTCCAACAGATACCTGGAAGAGAATACACACTGGAGACTGGCAGTACATGGCATTATTGCTGCTCCTCTGACAGCTGTGAAGAAATTGTACACAGAGACAAAATCCTATGTGTACACAGAAGAGATGAAATCCTGTATGTCACCTCAGAGCTTCTTCTGTACTTGCAAATACAAGAATTTTTATTATTCATGCAAAATGACAAGCAGAATAGGACAGGGGGGAATCCTGCCTTGGATATATACCCAGGGAAAAGCAGGCAGTGTTGAGGAGGAAGGATGCTGCTAGATGTGGGGTAGTTAATCCGGTGACACAAGGCGATGCCATTCATCTGCATGTGGAAGAAGTTCTCTGTGCATCTGGGCCTTGGCAACGTACACCTGTCAATGTCTGCTCATGGGAACTGCCCTTGCTTCAGGGGAAAGAAGCTGAGATTTAAGGAAAATTCATGTTTGAGAGCTCAGCAATTTTGGTGTCCAGCTTTATTGGCTGCACTCTGCTCCTTCTCTCCCTGGCAACATGCACTACAGCTCCTGGCCTCCTCATGGAGCAGAGCATTAAGTATCCAGACATCTAGTGGTGTGTGCATTTAAACTTAAAAGATCTGGCAATGAGTAGCTACACACCATCAGATACTGCCAGTCTGGGCAGAAGTAGGGGGTGTGACGGTTTTGGCAAGCCATGGCAATTTGTTTTTCCTGTATGGTATATCATCTCATTGACAGACATTTAGGAGGAAGAGCTTCAGCCTGTGTAGATGGCCATGCTATACGGTTGTTCTGGGTTTTGTAAGGAGCATGGTGTCAGCACATAACTTTCTCAGCCAGCACTGCTGAGGCATTTAGGCACTGTCCACACACAGAGCTCACACCCACCAAAAAGTGCTCCCTGAAAATAAACCCTCTGACCTACAGAAAGATGAAGGCAAAAGGTACCTGTGGAGGAAGAGGGCTTTGATTTTCATGCTAGATATCTTCTGTGTTTGCAATTTAATGAAGCAGTATCTACAGTGGTGGTGATTCAAGCAGCCTGAGTTACACACATAAAAGTGCAGCCTTCTGTGACCTGATCCAGGCCTGCAACCTCTGATCCAATTATAAGGCAGTTTCTTCAGTGCCAGTGTTGGTAAGGCCTTTATGAAGACAGGATGTATGTTCCTGGCCTCCTAATGCTTTTCCAAATTCTGTCTGACGAGTCTCGGCGAGAACTCATGTCCAGCAGGGTGCAGGCATGGTTAGTGCTTCCTGGCAGCGCCCCAAGGCCTCTACTGAGTAGTGCACGAGTGTTCAGACATCTATCAGAGCTCTCAGAGCATCACTTGGCTGCTGACAGGTGGTGCCAGGCAGAGCAGTGGCACGGTGTGCAGTCATGATAACAGTGATGAAAGCTAGATGGTGATACCCTCATCTTTCAGCAGAACCTGTGCACAGATGCACTTCAGATGTAAGATCCCAGCCTTTTTCATCACTCTCTGAGAAGGAAGATGATAAAGTTCTCTCTCAGACAAAAAGAAGTCAAGCACTGATAAAATAACAATAATAACAATAGAAAGGATGCGTAAAAAATAGGAGCAAGGATTTCCTACAAGGTGGAAAATTGGGTAACTCTGGTTTCAGCATTCTGACAGTACCACAGCTTTGGAGATGATAGCCGACACATACCTGCCATCACAGTGCTTTGAATTTGTTTTCATTTCTGTTACACTAAGACTTCTCTGCTGCAAGTGCTAGAGCTATGTGGTGCCCATAGTAGCCTTCACTTTCTGAACTTGGCTGTACTTTTAGGGCTTTGAACAACACATATTGATTACTATGGTTTCTAAGGATTGCTCAGTGGAGCCCTTCAGAGCTGACATGCACAGGGCTGCCAAACCCATGAGCTTCATCTCTGTGGAAAGTAGACTTGAACTATAGTGGGTGTAATAAAATTATAGTGGCATCATAAAAATGTATGACTTTTTCATAAAAGAAATTCAGTGCCTGAATATTTACAGGAGGGTTTTTCATCAATCTTCTTTCAGCTCCTTTCTGTAAGGCTGAGGCTCTCCTTTTGAGGAATGTATGCTGAGTATCATTGCTTACATCATATCATTCATCAGAACCCACCTATCATGGCTCACTGGAACATAGGACCTCATCTGTTGTGCCTACCTGGGAGCAAAAAGTGGGCTGAGCAGAAAATCCAGAGACAGTGGTAGCAAATAATAGGAAAAGCTATTTTTAATCCCTTTCCTCCCTCCC